TTGTGTATGTGTGTTATGTATATGTCTATGAGTTTGGTATGTGTCAACAGACACCTGTGGAGGTCAGAGGTTGGTCTTGGGATACATTCTCCTATAGCTTCTCTTGATATATAGTTTCTCATTCAGCCTCAGGCTCATAGTCAGCAAGGCTGACTGGCTACTGAGTCCTCAGGGTCCTCCTGTACTAAGGTTACCTGACTCTTGTGTGTGTGCCAGTCTGAAGTCATGTCCTCATACTTATGTGGCAAGCATTGTACTGATTGAACCATCTCCCCCATCCTGGAACCACTTAGTTTGAAGATGCTGCCAGATAAGGAATGCCCTTTGGAATAGCTTGAAATCTTGTTGAAAAAAATATTAATATGCCACACTTATCATTGCCTTCAGACAATTGCAGCACTAATTCTAGTTCTTAACCACTGACAACTTTGTGCGTTTATGTGTTTGTGTGAGTGTGTGTGACAGAGGTCAACACGAGTTATTCCTCACTCATTCTATACCTGCATTTTTTTTTGAGCTCACTAACCCTGGAGCTCACTACTTAAGCTAGGTTGATAGTCCTGCAATCCTCAGGGATCTCCTGTCTTTGTCTCTCTACTGTTGGGATGACAGAATGAAACAGCAGTGCTTAGATTTTGACATAAGAATGCTGGAATTCAGAACTCTGGTCTTATTGTTTGTGTAGCAAGCATGTTACAAAATGAGTCACTCCATGGCCCTACCAAATGATAACTTTTAATTTCTAGGACCCTATACATAGCAGTAGGAAGAATGTCAGGAGTTTAACATTTTGCTTTTAGTCCAATGACTAGTGTCTGAAACTATATTGTTGAAAACCCTAGCCTTCCCCACCACCATTTCCCTCTATGTCTCCCTGTAAGTTACAAGAAGTAACAAAGCGTACAGTGTTCCTCTTGTTTATCAGCCCATTCTCTAGTGATCTGAGATATGGGAGCCAAGCCCAATGCCATGCCCAATCTTCTACTCATCTATCATGACTCTATTAACAGATTCATCTTGTGTCCAGATATAGACAAACAGGAGCACCATAGCTGTATTTCCCTTCAAAAATACAGATACCACAAAATAAGATACCTCTTAAATGGAAGAGGCAAATATTAGTGTTCAATAATTCACAGCCTAGATGTCAATTAGTATAGGTTCTCAGTTTTCCTTGTTTGCTGTTTCCACGTTACTCATGATAACCCAAGGTAAGCAAACCTTGGCTAAAGGATGTGATCAGAGAAATAATTCAAAGCTGAGAATCATTGGCCCTGTTGGATCCACCTAGGATTTCATCTCTCCGAGGCAGTCCTTAGTATGTGGAACCCAGACAGATTTCCTCTGCCTGGGCTTTAGGATCCTCATCTGTAAAAGGGCAGGGAGGGACCTGGAAACTCTTGAGGATTTTGGTTGTCATGACATTCTAAAAGTCTGCAATCCTATTGAAGTCTGGGTACTCTTTGGAATGAGTGATGGGAATGAGAGCTGGGACTCTCAAGTCATATTGAACTAGGCAGGCTTCATCTTGGGAGAGACTTCAGAGAAATGATTGGCATGTACACTGTAGGTCATAAAGAGCTTCCATAACCTACTATCTAATTTTGTCCCAAGGAGAGCCTGCTAAGGTGTAATCGTTCCTGCCATTTCATATAGAAAGCGAAACACAGAGAGTGAAAAGACTGCAGTATTTTATGTTAATTTTCTTGTTTAATTCACGCAATAATCTTAAGGCCTTCCGCACTTACTACTCCTTCTCACTCATCAGTCCTCCTTTACTTTCTTACCAGTTTATAGACAATGGATCTGAACTTATGAAACTAAGAAGATTTCACCTCATTGAGTTACAACCACATCTACACTTAAAATATTTGCTCACAAGTTTGGTGAGAATCCAAGTGACTGCAGAGGCTAGCGGGTGATGGAAGCACACGAAGTGATAGAGGAAAGACTATTAGCATTTCATTTTAAAAGATTTATGTTTGATTACTTATGTGCACAAGAGGGTGCCTATGTAAGTGTTTGTGGATGTATCTATGTGGGTGCTGAGGCCTAGACCTGCATGTGAAGGCCGGAAGAGGATGTCAGGTGTCCTCTTCTGCGACTCGTCATATGGTCGTCTAAGGCAGAGTCTCTTACTGGACCTGGAGCTTCATAGCTGGGCTAGGCTGGAAGCCAGCGTGCCTGCCCCAGTGATCTTCCTGCCTTGATTCACCCCAAAAGCTGGAGCCATCGACTTTTGCAGGAAATGCCTGCAAGGTTGTTAGGCAACTACTGGGATCTGAACGCTGATCCTCAGGATCACAGAGTACTTGCTATTAACCGCGGAACATCTTCCTAACCCAACTGTTGCTTTCTTTTTAACCATAAAAAGAATTCAAGAAAAATAATATAGGAAGACTTGTACTTTCGATTGCATGTACAAATATATAGAATATATAGAACAAAGAATAATGAAGCTTTGGAGACTAGGAAATTGCATGCCCTATTTATGGGAGGCAGCTGCTGTCAGGCTGATGAAAGGCAGGCTTCCCTAGACAGATTTGATTTTTTAAAAAAAAACCTGGAGATCCGGAACCTTAACTAAAGTCTCCTTATTTATAAATATTAGTTACTACTTCTAACAAGATCCAGAGAAACATAGGAAATACCCACCTTGTGTTTATGTGGCTTGGGGGCCACCTTGTTAGTTTTGTTCTGAACTGTGCTGTCTCCAAAGGCACATTGAGTGGCTTACACTGCCTTGGAAGACAGCTCCACAGCATCCGCCGGGCATCTGCTTTCCCTCAGCTTCAGACAGGGTTGGAGCAGATGCTCACTGACCCAGAGGCATCTGTTGCTTGTGGCATGCTTACTCTTGAGAGGGTGCTGGATATTTTAAACATTATTCTTGGAAAGATTTTTTTGAAAGAATTTTCTGTAGTCTCCATGACAACTGTAAAAAAAGGGATCGAATCTTCTGTGTTTTACAGAAGAGTAATTAACATCTAGTTCAGTTACGAAGGTCCCCAAGTTGTAAGTCATCCACACGAGACACCAGATGCAGCTCGGACTCCAACTTCTCGTCACACTTTAAACCTCACTCGATTTTAGACTTTAGATTAGACTGTGTTAAGTTAAGGGATGCTTCTGTTGTTGCCTCTCTCTTGTGAGAGTCTGGGGCAAGGAAAAGGTAAGGTACGAAAGCATTTTCCAGAAGGCAAGATACCTCCATGCTTTCTCATCCCCTTTACCACTGGGTCCTGCTGGGACGGAGGGGAAACTGACAAGAGGAGGAAAACAATGACCTGCTCCTTCACAACCTGGAAGCTTCCGCACTAAGGCAGGACACTCCCAGCTCTGTAGGTGACTGGACAGACAGCACATGGGGAGGGAATTAGCTGGTGGAATGCTACCTTGAGCAGATGCCAATCAGCTGTCTCATGATCTGAGCCAGACCCACAACACTTTATATAAACACAGCCCTCTGCCCAGATGCTTTAGCCTGCATGACTTTGTGCCTGCTGAGGAGGGTGAGTCTGGAAGCTGGGTCCCGGGATTGTGCTGGGGGTGATATTTAGGTGATATTCAAGGAGAAGCTGGGACAGAAATTTGTCAGCCTGAGGAGAAAAACTGCCTATGGAATATAAGACATTCAGAATTGATCAGAATAGACAGGCTGTAAAGCGTGTTCATCTTTGACAGTCCCTGGTTTCTTCTCCAGATACCATTTTTTTTCTGTTAGCAACTTGTCCTCGGGGAAGATACACTAGTTATCTCTTTTGTGTGAGTAAAGACCCCTGAGGATGGATCACCTTCTCTAGGGAACACAAACTTAGACACTTGCTACAACTGGGAAATGTCTAGTGCTGTCTTCCAGTGGATGCATTTTTGGTCTTCTGAGAGCTTGTGAGAGGTGCTATGTTGTATGATTCAATGGCCAAATTAGCCCTCTGCTGTGCTGGTCACCAGGCTGCCCAGATACAGACAGGTAGCTCTGGGAAGAACAGTTGAGTGGTATCTGATGTGTTTTCTTGTTAACTAAGGGTATTACAGGAGTGTATGACTGAATGTCCTAGATCTCGCTGTTATGACCTTGCTATGTAGATCCATGAATGTGCCTAAATGTCCTTACACAAAGCCTCAAATGTGACAAAGTGTCTGCCAGTTTCTGGATTACCTCAGTTTAATTAACTCTATGCTGCATCTCAGAGGATCTGGGGAGAAAATGTTTCTGAAATCAGCAAACTGTTACCTTCTAGATCACTGGTAACAGCGACCTGCCTGGGCAAATGCTCATGTTAATCCCAAGGCTAGTGTGTTTTGTGTACGAGGTATAAATGGATTTGCATATTTCTATAAGGGTCTATTAAAATGAACTCACTTACAAAAGATTGTATGCAAGGCAGCAAATACTAAACTCCAGGCCCAAGAGGTCTGGAATCTGCCTGAAATCTTTACTTTCAGGGGACATTTTGATAAAATATGAACCTAGATGATGCCTGTGTTTTTGTTTTGATTTTTGCTTTCCCCGTGTTCATTTTTACATACATGTGTGGGATGTGTGAGGAAATCCAGGCTTCTGTGGGTGTGGAAACCTCAGTTTGGGCTGTGCATTGTAAGCAGGCTACCGCCTGTTCTTCCTGTAGGACTGTTCCCACCACCAGGCTGTGTAAGTGCAGAGAATCTGCTTGCGATCAGTGCTCTCTGGTGGCAGACTTTGGCATGCCTACATTTATATCCAGCTGTGCAGAATCCAGCCTTTTCCTTTTTCTTTTCTTTTTTTTTTTTTTGCAAAACCAGGGCAGGTCTTATAGACAATGGTGTCTAGCATGCTAGCATGGGATCCAACTAAGTCAGCACCAGTAAGGATTCTTGGGTGAAGGTTGAGGGCATGTGAAGACAGGCCGGAGAAGATACCAGGCTCCTGGCTGTAGATCCTAGCTCTCCTTTGCAACTCTCAGCCTCTTGACCCTGGTTTCTCTACCCTCAGGTCTTGTTCACCCCCCTGCATCAGGACCATGTGTGATCAGCAGCAGATTGAGTGTTGTGTGCCAGTGCCCCAGTGCTGTGTCAAGGGTTCCTCCTTTGGTCCTTCACAGTATGCCTACGCCAACAACCAGGTCCTGGTCCAAGCTCCATGCGGGATGCAAGTTGTGGAATATGCTGCACCATGCTCACTTCAAGTTTCCCAGACTCCAGGCCAATCCAGTGGCACTGAAGTGAAGAGCCAGGCTCCAGGCTCATCTAAGACCACAAAGGTTAAATGTCAGGCTCCATGCCAGTCAAAGACCACCCAGGTAAAATGCCAGTCTAAGACCACTGAGGTAAAGTGCCAAGCTCCTTGCCAGGCTCAGGTTTCCTGTGTTCAGTGCCAGGCTCCATGCCAGTCTCAGGTTTCCTACGTGCAAGTCCCACAGCCTCTTCCGACCTACTATGTAGAATGTGCTCCGGTGTATTACACAGAAACGAGTTATGTGGAGTATCCGGTTTCAACCTATGTGCCTGCTCCCGCTCCTCAGCCTGTTCACACTTATGTAGAGTGTCCCTCAGTGGGCCAGGGTCAGGGAAGTTTCCCCACTCAGGGCCGGTACCAGGGCTCCTACGGCAGCTGTACCTCTCAGTCACAGTCACGGGGTTCTTACAGCAACTGTGGTCCACAGTCCCAGTACCAGGGCTCCTACGGCAGCTGTACCTCTCAATCACAGTCACGGGGTTCTTACAGCAACTGTGGTCCACAGTCTCAGTCCCAGGGTTCCTACAGTCGCTGTGTGCCACAATTCCAGTCTGGGCCCTCCTACACCAGCTGCGGCCCCCAGCGCCAGTCACAGGCTTCCTATGGCGGCTGTGCCTCCCAATTCCAATCTCGAGGATCCTATAGCCACTGCTCCTCCCAGCGTCGGTCTGGGGCTTCGTTTAGCACCTGTGCACCACAATGCCAGTCCCAGGGCTCCTATGGAAGCTTCACTTCACAGCAGCGCCGGTCTCAGAGCACCAGCAGATGCCTCCCTCCTCGTCAGCTGCAGCCTTCATATCGAAGCTGCTCTCCACCAAGACGTTCTGAGCCCTGTTATAGCAGCTGCCTGCCATCCCGATGCTCTTCAGGCTCCTACAACTATTGCACCCCACCCCGCCGCTCAGAGCCCATCTATGGCAGCCACTGTCCTCCTCGGGGCCGCCCTTCCAGCTGTTCTCAAAGATGTGGACCCAAGTGCAGAGTAGAGATTTCCTCACCCTGCTGCCCCAGACAGGTTCCCCCACAGAGGTGCCCTGTCCAGATTCCTCCCATCAGAGGTAGATCCCAGAGTTGTGGCCGGCAACCCTCTTGGGGTGTCTCCTGCCCGGATCTGAGACAGCCACAGCAATTCCCAAGGTCTTGCGGCCCTCAGCGTCGTGCCTGGTCTCCAGAACCATCATGGCAGCGGTGTCCAGTTCCTGCACCACGTCCATGTCCAGAGCCACAGCGTCGTGACCGGTCTCCAGAATCATCATGGCAGAGGTGCCCAGTTCCTGCACCACGTCCATGTCCACGTCCAGAGCCATGCCCAAGTCCAGAACCCCGGCCATGTCCTCCACTGCGGCGATTTTCAGAACCATGTCTATATCCAGAACCATGTCCAGCTCCTCAACCAGCACCGCGACCAGCCCCACGTCCAATGCCACGCCCACGCCCAGTTCACTGCGAGAATCCAGAACCACGTCCACAACCACAGCCTTGTCCATATCCAGAGCCAATGCCGCATCCTGCGCGCTGCTCCAGCCCAGAGCCTTGTGGGGAACCCATGCGCTGTACCAGTCCTTGCTCAGGCCCTAATCCAGTTCCCTACCGCCAAGAACTAGGCTGTCATGAATCTAACCCGTGCCGCCTGGATACTGAAGGCCCGAGCCCATACAGCTGCAACCAGGGGCAAGAGAGTAACGACAACTGTGGACCTGATGATTCCTTTCCGGAGTCACAGGGTCCAGGTGGTTGTGGAGACCAAGGAAACACCCACGGAGGAGCGAAAGGAGGGGCTTATGCTGGAGCAAAGGGCGCTTACTTTTAAACAAAATGAAGCTCAGATGCCCCTGCCTCAGGTTCTTTAGAACATTTTCCCCTTCTCATCTGGTCTACATCGCTCCACAGATGTTGAGGTTGTCCCCACTTCAAAGCTGTGTTTCAGACTCCTTGCGTGTCATCTCAGGTTCCACACCCCAGTCTCAGACGTTATTCCAGCTATGCCTCGCTCCTCCTCCGCACTCAGCGTAAATTCTAACTAGACCAGCTTGGCCACCAGGGTGTTCCTTGGGTGTTCCTCCTGACATTCCCTAGATGCTCTTGCCTCTACAGAGGCTCGCTCCACCTGAACCATTTCTCATCCGTTTCCCAGGATCCAAAATTGTACCTGTCTTTCGACACCTCTTCTTTAAAGACTTTTGTTGTCATTGTTGCCTGTTCCCATCCACAGGAGCCTATTCTGACTTCCTAGAATTCATCGCCCACAGCTTCATCCATTTAGCCAGAGCTGTGCAGTACTCCTGAATTAATTTCTCGTTGCAGTTCCTGCCTTTTCTGCCTGGCAACATTGCAAACTTTCATTCAGAGTCAGTATATCCTTAAATCTCTGTGTCTTTCTTAGGTCAGGTGATAGTTGATCAAGGTTGTAGTTGACAGCTTGAGCTGTGTTCTGTCCTGTTGGGAAACTATAGGAACTAGGGCAAGCGGAGGATGCATAATAATAAAAACTGAATGTGTTCACAGTTTGAGTCCTGAGTGATGTCTTCTCTTTATTAGATGCCAACTTGCTGAGATGGTGTCTTTTTAAAATATGGTAAAATACATATGACAAGATTTATTAGCGTAGCCATGCCAGAGCATACATATGGTTCAGTGGGAGAATTATGCTTGCATTGTTATATTTCCATTACCACCACTCATTTGCCCTGCAGGGCAAAACACTCAATACCTCACTCTCCACTTCCCTTTAGCCTCTACGCACTAGTGTTCCATTGTCTACCTTTTAAATTTTGACACTGCATGTCTCACAGATAGACTCAAATGGTATTTGTGTTTCTGTTATTCTCTTGGCATAATGTTCTTCAGGTTCATCTTTGCTGTAGCATATGACAGCTATTAAGGCAGCATGCTACCATGCTGCATATAGACACCATGCTTTATTTTTTCAGCAATGAATGCACAAGTACTTGAGTTGCTTCCATTATTTGACTCTGGTTAGTAATGGTCCAATCAACACCAGTGTAAAATACTTCTTTGAGTATATGATTTCAATTCGTTGAGTAGATACCAAGAAATGGCGTTTCTACACCACATGCTAAGGCAAGTGCTGCCATGTTGCTTTCTATAGTGGTGACATCATCCCCAGTCCCATCCCAGCATCATCATCCACAGTCCCATCCCAGCAGCATC